ATACAAATATCGAAATAATAAAATAATACTAAGATAAAATAATAAACTAATAAAATAAAACTGTTCTATAACAGTATGCTCTTTTTCAAAGTGCTGAAAAAGCTTTGTGGTATCACTCCTCTGTATTTCATAAGTGTGATGAATCTTATATATGTAGTTTTTCATATTATAATCCACAATTGTGGATTCAAAAAATAAACCACAGAGTAGTCGAACCTAAGATGGAATATCAAGGTCACAAAATGTGTAACTTTCAATAAGCTCCTTCATTTTTATAGTAAGTTTCTGATAGCTAATAGCAAAGTTAGCATATTCAAGAACTAATTCATGATTGTGATAAAGTTTTATTGATGTCAACTAATTATAATTTTATTATCAGAGCCCTTATTCTTGAACATATTTACTAGAAAAGGACAACCTATCCTTTTTGAACCCTTATTTCTTTGCTTTTCAGATAGAGCAGTTTTATATAAGATATATTTACTAGACTGTTTACAGTCTCAGATACATTGGTATGAATTATAGCTATTATCTACCTGTTTTTTTCTAATTGTAAAGTTATTTTGACATGCATAACATTCTAATATCTCTTAATATTCTTTCTAAGTTTCAAAAGTTTTTCCACAGTAGAGTTTAATACGAAATAGAGGTAAATATCCAAGTTGATAATTATCAGTATTCTTAGAGATATTATTCGATCTACTAATAATATCAATGTCATCTTCAGGTTCAGTATCAGTTCTAACTTCAGTATCAGTTCCAGCTTTAGTATCAGTTCTAGCTTCAGTATCATTTTCAAATTCAATATCATGCTCATTTATATTTTTTTCAAATTCAATACCAAATTCATTTATATTATTATCATTTTCAATTCTACTATATGAACATTCACCTATTAATGGCAAAATGTTTTTTATACTAGTCAAGGGTCTTCATACTATTGAAAAAAAGAGTAGGTGCAGAGTAATAAATAATTTGTCACTAACTTGTTATAGAAAAAATATATATATATATATATAAGTTATATATATAAAAAAAAATAAAATAAAAAAAATAAAGAAATTGTGAAAAACAAGATGCAAGTGTACAAAAAAAAGTGTGAAAAGTGAGATGCAAACATACAAAAGAAATTGCAAAAAGTGAGATGCAAGTGCACTAGAAAAAGTTTAGAAAGCGAGATGAAAAATGTGAAAGTGTTAAAAACAAAATGAGAGAACACAAGTGTGTATAGGCAGATGTGAACGATAGTCTAAAGAAAAAGAAAGTGCATTATGTGTGAAATCAAACTCTTTTAAAGAACGAAAGCTATATAGTAAAAAAAAAAGTTCATTAGTGAAACTAGTGCTTTTAATTACCCAAAACTCTGCAATATTATCATTTTAACCTTTAATGTTAATAGTAAGAAAGTATAAGAAAGTATATTTATATATGTATGTGTATACGTACTATATAAAATTTGATATAATAATGATAATCTTATATTTTATATAAATACAGTCAGGGAATTTACCAAAACAAAAATCAATTCTAGAACTTTTCTAGAACGATCTATTGAAATTTGATTGGCTTATAATAATCATCGTAAAGCAATCTTGAGACCAAAATTTAGAAACTTTTACAGTATCAAATCACAACTAGTCAATATATTCAAAAAAAATCAAAAGCCTATAGTTTTATAATCAGTTAATGTTTTTTTATAATCAACCTTTTCAAAAAGGTAGATAAAGCTTGAAAAAAACACAAAATTTATATTCATAGAAGTTAGTTTAACCTTTTTTTTTTTAAGAAAAAACACTAGTTTACAAAAGCTTTACAGTATTATTTGAAAGTTTTTAATTTTATTTGATTCACATTGACTTAGTTAATATACCTCAAATTATTTACTGATTAATATGTTTAAAATAATAACCTATTTAAAGCCAAAAATATTCATTCTTTGAATCTCTTAAGCTTATTTTATTTATATTGATTTAGCTAATTTGGATCAATGCTATTTTTTTTTTTTTTTTTTTTTTTTAAGGTGAGGTTTTGTCTTTATCTTTATTTAGTAATTTGTATTGAGAATCTACAT